AATGGTAGCTAGCCCGTGGACTTTGCTCATGATGAGTCAATGTTCAAGCAAATATTATAAATACATTTTTTTTGTAAAAAAAGTGAAAATTCTATGATAATATTTAATATACCCAGATTTTTTTTTTTATTAATTTTGATTTGTAATGTGCTATAGATTTTTAGAATCCAAGCTTAAGTTCTAGCTAACATTTTTCTTGATTGTTTAAATAAACTCTGTATCAAATAGAAATTTGGAGTTTGAATCTTCATGTGTATAAATATTCATCCTCTTTTGGAAAATATGTTTTATTAAAAAAATAAGAATTGGACAAAGTTCTAATGTGAAGAAATGGTTACAGGACAATATATTTTGTAGTTTTCAAAATAGGTTGTTTTTTATTTTTATTTTTTTATTAATAGCTTCATAACATAAGTTAAAATTCTTGAGGGATGTAATAAAAAATGATGTAATATAAATCAAACATTGTAAAAGACTTAGAAACAAATATATTGACAATGAATAGTAAAAGACTTGGAAATAATAAAGGTAAAAGACTTGAAAAGAAATAATGAGATAAACTTACAAGTATATACTAGTTTGATGAAGAAACGTTTTATTGCTTTGATGATGTTTACAAAGGACACTATAAACTTTTTTGTGCTATTGTTTTCTCTCTATTTTTTTTCTCTCGCCGCTTACAAAGGAAGTGATACATACTTATACTACAAAGGAGTGGATTTCAAATACATCTGAATCCGTCTTCATAATTACAATACAAAATAAAAGATAAAGTTGTTGATATGCTGATGAGCTGTCTTGGAAACGTGTCTTGAATTATTGAGGACTTGTCTTGATAGTGGCCGACAAACTGATTTTGTTGATAAAGGAATCTTGAAAAATCTTCTTGTTGATAAGGGAAATCTTGAAAATTTTCTAGGAAATCCACAAAAGCATTGAACATGTGATAAAGGTGCTGCTGAGTCATTGTCCTTTATTTAATAATCTTCAACTTGGGAATCACCCAAAAGAAAATTATCTGAATCACTGTCTTCAGAGTTTTGGGAATTGTCTAGAACTTAAGAATTTAATAAATCATTTTCATTTTCATAATCTTCTGCTTCAACTAGGTCAGCAGCTTCTTTAGCTACGACTAATTATTGAATATAATTATTATTTTCAGATGTTGATGCTGAAAATTTATTGTTAAAAAAAGTAGAAACCCAATTACTAAATGGTTCTTGTGGATTTTCTTCCTTATATTTTATGAGGACTTTTTTGGCACGGATTTTGGTTTCAAGAATAATTTTGTCAATGGCTTTTGAAGAAAGGGGTAAGGCTTTGGCTTATTGAATTGGTGTTGGATTTTTAAGATATTTATTTAATTCCAAAAAATCATCAATATGGGTTTCAAAAAGAATTATTTGCCAAATATCATTTGAAAGAATATTTTTTAGAAATTTTCTGTGATTATTTTTCTTTTGGGAAAGATGACGATTTTGGATGATGGTAAAAAGATTTTTTGATTTTTGAAAATTGGGTAATATTTTTTCTTCATGAAAATTATTGTTTTTTTATGGGAGTGCCCATCTTTCACTCAATCACTCTCTTTCTTTCATCACTCAACTTTTTTTCTTTCAATCACTCTCTTTCTTTCATCACTCAACTTTTTTTCTTTCAATCACTCTCTTTCTTTGTCACTCAGCTTTTTCTTTCCCTATAAGAATTCACGAGGAAGAAAATCAGGTGATGAATTATTATATCCTTTGATATGTTCGATTTCAAAGTCAAAACAAGAAAGTATTGCTTGCCGTCTTGCGAAAATATGTTTTGAAAGTAAATTTTTTACATCTTTTTCAAAAATAAATTTTGATGCAGAAGAATCTGTTCAGATAAAAAATCTTTTATTTATTAAATCATCTTGAAATTTTGCAATGCATAAAACAATTGATACAACTTTTTTTTTTTTTTTTTTTTTATGGTTGAATAATTTTTTTGAGCACCGAGCCAGACTCCAGAATGGAACATAACTAGACTCTCTTTGCTATCTAATTTCTGTTTTAATATCCCACCATAACCCATATCAGAGGCATCAGTTTCTATAATAGGATAGGCTGATGGATCTAATATACTAAGGCAAGGAAGGAATTTAATTTCTCTAACTACTTGGGTATAAGACTCAGACCATGCAGGAGGTTTTTTTCTAAGTCTTTGATATAACGGTTCACATAGTTTTCTAAGGTCTTGGAAAAAATCTGTTACATAATTTAGACATCCTAAAAATCTTTGTAATTTTGTTTTGTCCCTTAATTCATCGGGAAAATTATTTGCAAATTCTATTGACCTGTTAATTGGTTTAATAGTTCCTTTATAAATTTCATGACCCAAAAATCTGATTTTTGTTTGAAACAATCTCATTTTTGTGGTTGAAACAACTAATCCATTTCTTTTAATAATTTCTTCAAATATTTTTAAATGTTAATCTATTGATTCTGAATAAACTAAAACATCATCAATATATACTATTGTAAAGTGTATATAAGGATTAAAGATATCATTCATACTATTTTGAAATTCTGAAGGTGCATTTTTTAATCCGAAAGGCGTAACGTTCCACTCATATTGACCAAAAGGAACATTAAATGCCGTTTTGTATCTATCTAATTCATTTATTTAAACTTGCCAAAATCCTGATTTCATATCAAATTTTGAAAATATTGTGGCATTATATAATCTATTAATTAAATCTTTTTTTGTTGGGAATTGGATATATAATCCAATGTAATACCTTATTTAATGGTTTATAATTGATTACCAATCTTGGAACTCCTCTTTCCTTTTCTGCTGCATTACAGTGTTCAAGTAATTTCTTATTCATTTGTATGGGTCTAGCTTTTGTTGGTATATTTTTCTCATCAAAATTCTTAATATAGGGAAGACAAACTAGGTGTTGTTTTCTATTTCAAAAGGCATTTGGAATTGTTGAGCATATATCTTGCGAAGATCATTTTTCTAAATTTTTAATAATTTCTTGAATTTTTGGAGTTTCTAATTGTTGCTTTATTCTTTCATGTTTTAGTTCTTTTTTTAAGAAATTAATTTGTCTTTTCTTATTATTAATAAGATTTATTTTTGATATAAGTTTTTTAAATTATTAATATCTTTTACTAATGGAGGATTAACAAATTTAAATGTTACATTCTATCCTAAAATATTTGTTGTAATTCCTTTATCATATGTGAAGAAATTGTTGCAGGATAAAATTTTGTAATTTCCAAATTTGGTTGAAATTTTATTTTCCAATAGTTTACTAACATAAGTAAACTTGGTCTAAATTTATTAAAAAATTTCATTTATGTATTAATTGAAACTTATTAATTTGCAGTTGACACCTTTAATAATAATAATAATTATTATTATTATTACTATTATTATTATTATTATCGAGGGCCACTAAATTAACATAGCCTTGAAATTTTGCATGGTCTCCATCGAAATAAGGTCCATAAATCACATAAACGAAGAAAAGTATTTCGGCTACTATTCTGTGGAATAATTATTCTGCAGAGATTTTATGAATTTTCAAAGTTCAAGGTTCTTCTGATAGGTTTAAGTTTAACTGCTATGGGACTTAGAAACTTCTCTTCCTAATAACCATTGAGTCTTCAACTTTGAATTTTCCAAAATGAGGACTCACACACTTTGAATTTTCCATAAAAGCTTCCCACACACCAACTCAGGAACAGCTGTTCCCTACGAATGAATAACATTTTCTTTGATCTAGTTTGATTTGATATGACAGTACCAACTCAATTGTCACGTTAGAGATGGTAAGAAAAGTTTGTGAGAAAAGATTATTGGTGTAGCATTATTCATGTAAATAAACTATAATGTATGATAGGGGAAATGAGTATTGATTTTTTAAATAAATGGCAGTTTGTAAATTGTCATTTAATATTTACTATGATGTACTACGATCGATATTTAATGTTATCTTATATTACTTGATTGGAGGCAATGGAAGATTACTGGGGTTATGTCATCTTATATTACTTGATTGGAGTGTTTGGTTGTCAAATAATATAAGATTCCGGTAATTTTGCATTACCAATAGTTGTCACTGTTGGTAATATTGGAGATAATCTGATTACCTCAATTTTCTTAGGGATTATAAGATTACTAAGGTAATCTTATTTTTGTTACAATTCTATCCCTTATTAATAAAAATTTTGGACAATAATGCCCCTGTTTTAAAATCAATTTACATTAATATACCATTTCAATTTTACCCTTGTTTAATTATCATTTTGGACAATAATGCCCTAATATTTAAAACAAATTACAGAACACCATCGCCGCTGGAAAGTCGTCGGAGTCCCTAAAAATGATCGAGATTCTTTGGGAGGCTTCGGAAGGCTTCGATATGGCTGTTTTCGGCCATCATTATGGTCAGAAACGGCCATATCGGAGTCGCGTGGTCATGGTGAGCTACTCACGGCGACTTTCAGAGACTTCCGACGGTAGTTTGCAGTGGCGGCAGGGGGTGGGGGTGATTTTGTCATAAATTAAAGTTTTATATAAGTGGGGATGTTTTAGCTAAATCTGAAATATTGGGGGTTAAAAGAAATTATGCAAAAATTAATAATAAAAATAATATTATATTAATATTTAAAAAGGGTAATTTAGTAATTTAAATAACATAGCCATCAATTTATTCCTCCTAACCAAGCATATTAATATAACATACCCACCAACTAACCAAATATATTTTCTTAAAAATTTACAGTAATCTTCAAGGTAATATAATATTCCAGTAATCCAACATTCCCACTGATCTAACATTCCTTGAACCAAATGCACCTTGAGAGTTGTTGTCAACTTGTTTGACCAAACTGGCTCCAAATTTTCCCAATACTATTCTTCCGCGTTTAACCCACTTCAGTCCTTCTTTCATTTGTCAATATAACTGAGACTAAGACACATTATCTCTTTATCATTCTCTTGTAAACCAAATGAACATCATGAGTTCCAGAATGAAGCTGCTTTCTTTATCTTCTTCTTCAAGATTTTCCCACTTTTTCTGTATTTGCTTCTTTATAATTTTTCTTATAATTCAGAAATCCATTGCTCAAAATGCTACTGCCTCCACTGACCCCACTGAAGGTACAATCTTTTTCTTTCTTTTTGTATTTTGTTTTTCACTCCATCTGTGTCTATTTCACTATTTATATGTATTTATTCTTTTGCATATTAATCATAATTTTGTTAGTGTACAACAAACTCTCAGGTAAATGATTCTTCATTCATCGCTTACAGATATTGATAGTTTTTTATTCATTGTTTAGACAAAATCTTTGTCAAAATAGAAGTTTGGAGTTTGAATCTTAAAGGGTATAAATACACATCATCTTTTGGACATATATAAATATGAGTTAACGCAGATTTTTAACCCAAATTTATGATCATTGATTCATGATAATCTAATCTGTTACTGATTCATTGTTTTAGGTCAATGGATCTAACACTTTAAATAATTGAGATTCAATAAAATACACACATTCAATGCATTTGGAAAATAACATAATTTAAATTCAATCTCACTCATTCAAATGTTTTAATCTAATGGTTTAAAAATAATGCCAAAATTTGTGTAACTATATATATATATAAGGTCCACCAATAACTTCAACTGGGGAATAATTTTTTTTTTTTTTCTAAAATAGGTAGAAGGGTATAAGAGTTTCAAAATATAAAAAAAGGTACAATATATATAATTACTATTAAAAAAAAAAAATTAAGAAACCCAAAAAAATTAAAACTCTTCAGAAATTTAAAAAAAAAAAAAAGGACAATTAAAATTAAAAGATAGTTTGAAATTACGACAAAAACAAAGAAAAATTAAAATCGAAATTTAAAAACTAAAAAAATTAAAAAACCATCAAATTTTAAAAAGAAATTAAAAAAATAAAGCCATAAAAATATAATTTAATTGTTTTCACAAAATTTGGTTTTAAAAGATATTTTTCATTAGTAAAATGTTGAAAACTATCTAATACTATTATTAAACCATATAAAAAAAATTGCTTTTCACATAAAATATGAAAAATATATATACTTCTATTATTCATTGTTTGTAATTGTTGATTACATTTTTTATTTGAGTCCATATATAGTTTTAGCTCCAGCTCTGACAAAGGGAAAATAAAAATAAAAATTAAGAACATTATGAAGAAATAGTACAGATAAAAATGGTAATTTTCTATGTAGAACCATTACAAATGTATTTATTTTTTGAATAAAAAAATTATAAAAATTTGGCATAAAATATATATTCATCCAGATTTGTATTAAATTCAATATGAATGGTGTTGTGAGCAGTGAGGGCATTGTATTCAATATTTGAAAAATGGGGAGCAGAAGCAGTGGAAGGATTGTGGAACATAAGTGGAGAGCCATGCAGTGGAACTGCCACCAATGATACTGAATTTGAAGACCCTATCAATAATCCTGCTATCAAATGTGATTGCACTTATGACGATGGCTCAACCTGCCATATCACCCAACTGTAAGCTTTCCTTTCTCTTTGCTCGGATCATGCGGGCCGTGATGTTTACAAGTTTATTGTTCAATACTACAAGTTCGATATTGTAACAACAGACTTATAATAATAATGATAAAAATACTCAAATATGACTTGGAATTGCGATATTTTTAGTTTGTGAATGCAGATAAAGATTTAATTTATTTTGCAGGAGGGTGTATGCACTGAGCAAAAGAGGAGTGATTCCAAAAGAACTGGTGAATTTGAAATATCTGACATTTTTGTATGATTTTTCCCACTCATTTAATTTTTTTTAATATATATATTCATCATGATGAGATCATCGGACACTAATTTTTTATCATCTTTTTCTGATTGAGTTTTGTAGGAAAATCGATCAAAACTATTTCACTGGTCCCTTGCCTGCATTTATTGGAAATTTATCTCGATTGAAGTTATTGTGAGTATAAGTTTCATGGTTTCCATCCAATGCTTCCATGCATATGTATTATCTCCAAATCCGACTTTTATCCTTAATAAAATCAAGTTCATAATTACTTATTAATAGAAAGAAAAAAAGAAATTATAATCGCATATTATTACAAACATTCGTGTAACGTCCCGGTTCACTATCAAAGTCTTATTGAATTTTATTCCTTACCCACATTAAATAGTAAGACTCAGAATGTGTCTCCTTGATTTGAACCTTATGACTTCATCATTAAAAACAAACCAACAGTGCTCTTGATTAACAAATATTTATCGTGCAATCTGTAGAATATAAAATTTAAGATAAAGGAGAGGATCCTAGTTCGTAAATCCGAAGCATTTGTTTTTCTTTTGAGTGATATGCATAGTTTTAAGTTATTATGTTAAAATGATACTAAATAATGTGACAACTAATTCTTTTAACTAATAACTGACTTTGATTCTTGAAAAGGGAAATTTTTTAGAAATTTTATCTTTTAATACTTAAGGTTATGCTGCTAATTGATGCCTGTTTGTTTGTTCTTTTGGCTGTTTCCAGGTCAATTGCCCACAATGCATTCTTTGGGCCAGTCCCCAAGGAGCTTGGAAACCTTAAGGAGTTAACTGTTCTGTAAGTCTTAAAAGTTTTCTCTCTTTTCAATTGGGTCCGTGATTAGAAATCAGTTTTTGTTTGGATTCACATAACTGCTGATTCCTAAAGAAATATATTTATTTCATAAATGTTATGCAGGTCTTTTGTTTCCAACAATTTCTCAGGAACACTCCCTCCAGAACTTGGTAACTTAGCCAAGCTTGAGCAAATGTAGGTTCCAACTTTCTTATTTGTTTCAGTGTAGTACTAAATTTGACACGAAAGATTTTTGTCCTATTAAATTAAGAAACTTTTGATTGATGAATTTAACAGATACATAAACAGTTGTGGATTGAGTGGTGAAATTCCCTCATCTTTCGCTAATCTTCGTAATATGCAAACTATGTAAGAAAGATCCCCATCTACATGTTTATGGCATTCTATTTCTGCTGGAAGATTACTTTGCCTGAAATTAGCGTACAATGAGTGTCTGTAAAATTTCAGGTGGGCATCAGATAGTCCTTTTACAGGCAAAATACCTGATTTTATTGGGAATTGGAGCAAGCTCTTATCCCTGTAAGCTGCGAAAACTTTTGCATATTTATCTTCAGTTGTGTTATGTGAATGATAACATAGAGTTGATTGAATGTTCTTGCAGGAGATTTCAAGGGAACTCCTTTGAAGGTCCTATACCATCAAGTTTTTCTAACTTGATCTCATTGGCCTCCTTGTTAGTATATCTTTTTGTGTTGATTTTTTGATATCTTACTCTTCTTCCTTTTCTCTATGTAAAGAGAAATCATATTAGTCTTGTTCGAATTAATTTTGTAGGCGTATCAGTGATATATACAACATTAGCTCTTCTCTTGATTTCATTAGAAGAACGAAGAACTTAACTGATTTGTAAGTTTACACATACTTAAATTCACATTTTCTATTCTTCTTGATTAATCTTTTATTTTTTACACTAATCAGTTGTTTTCTTATTTGTAGATATCTGAGAAATGCTTTGATCACTGGTAATATTCCTTCTGACATTGGAGAATACCAAGAGTTAATGACTCTGTAAGTTGATATTAGAAACAAAATCTCAAATGCACTGCCACTAATTTCTTGGTTTTAATCGAAAATTCATCTTTACTTTGCAGGGACTTGAGTTTCAACAATTTAACTGGTGAAATCCCGAGTGCTTTATTCAATATCAGTTCTCTTACTCACTTGTAAATTCATTAACTTGCCATCTGTCAATTTAAAGATCTTCAGTATTGAAGAGTTAATAGTTTGTTTAAAATTTTGATATGAGCCTTATGCCTTCCATTCAATATCCAGGTTTCTTGGAAACAATAGTCTGTCGGGAAACCTTCCGAGCCAAAAAAGTTAAAATCTTCAAACCATGTGAGCCTTTGTTGTATATATATGACTGCATTTGTGTGTGTATGTGTTTGTCTGTATATTATAACAAGTCAATGATAAATGTTACATTTCTTTTTTTGTGTTATCTAGTTCTGTAATTTTGTAGATACTCCAATATAGAGGATCTATGTGTGCCAGATGAATTTTGGAGTGAGCAGTAAATTGACAAAAACGAAGGAAGATATAGTGTTACGTACCAATGTTATGGTGCATCCTTTCTATCCTATAATCAATGTCATAGGTTAACTGCAAGATTTTCTGAATTTTTTCACTGTTTCTATTGATCCAGTGGTTGCAAGAGAAAAGTTTGATATGTATCATGGAATTAGTCCACTGATAAAAGCAATAGAATTCTTTACATACAAACTCCTTTGAAAATCCACTCAGTGCATTTCTCTAAATGCCAAAAAAAAAATTGATGGAAGCAATTGAATTCTTCTCGGAATTGTTCTACTGTCAGGTGGCTAAACTTAACAATTTTCTGCAGAGATTTATCATACAATTATTTATCAGGAACTTTTCCGTCATGGGTGACTTCAAATTTGCAACTGTATGTCTCTTAAACTATTATACTTGCTTTCTTCATCTTCATTTTCTAGAATTAAAGACTTAGCTTTGGAGCTAGATTAGCATTGTAGACCTCATATGAGCATCTTTCCTTATGTTTTGTTCTCTTTTCTAGCATTCAAAGGGCTGATATCAAGCAAAAATCTTCATTTTCTTGTGATTGATTCTCCAACAAAAAGGGTACTTTAACCATTTGGGATAACATGAATAAAGCATAACACATTTCATAATGCCCTTGTTATATAATCCCTGCATCTATACTTCAACAACTAGAATACTTCAGATTTTGGAATACATTTGATCGTTGCTTTGAATTATATAGGAATCTGGTGGCTAACAACTTCGCATTTGATAGCTCAAATAGTAGGTGAGCTAAAATTCCTTTTTTGATATGTGAAGTGTCATATTTTTTCATATTAACTAATTATCACATTGCTTTTTGAATCTTCAATACAAATAAGCAGTGATGTTTTATGTGCTTGCCAGTGTCTTCCCTGGATTGAACTGTCTTCAGAGAAACTTCCTTTGCAATAGGAATACTCCGCGCTGTAGGCCGTTTTCTTTCTTCTATTTAATTCTTTTTCAATAATATAGTGTCAAAATGCATTTAAATGCTGTTATTAAAATTAATACTATTTCATCTTCGTATTTTCAGATGCAAATTTTGCAATCAAGTGTGGTGGTAAACAGATGACAGCTGATAACATAGTCTATGAGACCGAGAACTCATCTTTTAGTGCGGCTTCATTTAATGTAACGAGTACAGAAAAATGGGCAGTTAGTAATGTGGGGTTGTTTTCTGATAGAGAAGATCCATCATACGTGCAAAATACACTCGCACAAGTGACCGGAACCCGAACGCCAGAGCTTTATCAGACTTCAAGACTATCTCCTGGATCACTTAGATACTATGGCCTTGGTCTTGAGAATGGCCCTTATAATATAAGCTTGTTATTTGCCGAAACAGTTTTTGATGATCGAAGCTCACAAACATGGAAGAGCCTTGGTAGGCGTGTTTTTGATATCTATATTCAGGTAAACTTATCCTGAGTTCATATTCATATTGTACATGGATTCCTTTATTTCAATTCCATATACTTCAATTGAATTGAGAAATATGATTTCTAACTCCCACATTGTCCTCTAGGGAACTCTCAAGTTAAAGGATTTTGATATATCAAAGGAGGCAGGCGGTGTTAACAGAGCAATTACAAAGACTTTCAATGCTATTGTGTCTGAGAACCATCTTGAAATTCACCTATTTTGGACTGGTAAAGGTACTTGCTGCATACCTAAACAAGGTGATTATGGACCATCAATTTCGGCTATTAGCGTCGTTCCAGGTGAAACTTGTGATTCCTTTTCATATTCATTTAAGATGACTTGTACTACATGTGCTTATCTGCTTCTTACTACTACTAACTGAATTCAGATTTTGTACCAATTGTGAGCGGAATACCGCCAAATGCTATACGCAAAAAGAACCGGACAGGGTTAATTGTTGATATTGCAGTCCCTCTGGGAATTCTGGACTTCATACTGATATTTACAGTTTTTTACGTAAGGAAAAAAGAAGATGATTATGATCAGAAAGGTAAGGAAACCATAGATGGTGTAAAAATCATCCATAGCAGTTGCTACATTGCTCACTTACTCGTGCACATTTTTTTTAAGCAACACAACTTTAGATTTCAAATATAGGATTCTTTGCATTCCATGAGAAATTGTTTAATAGGTAGTAACGTCTTGTAATATAAATACTTCGGTGTTATGTGACTAATGCTATGGAAGTGTATATAGAAATACTATTAAGGTCCCCCATTCAAGAAAATCCATTTATTTTGAGTTTGAATATGCAGTGCTACAAGCAATAGGTCCTAAACAAAACACTTTCAGTTATGCTGAGTTGAGATCTGCAACAAATAACTTCGACTCTTCAAACAAGCTCGGAGAGGGAGGATTTGGACCTGTGTACAAGGTAACTTATATCTTTCTAGTAAATCATTACTTTACCTTGGAAGAAGTTGTATGTCAATTTTCACTAGCTATTGTTCTTCACAGGGTACACTTTCGGATGAAAGAATAATAGCTGTGAAGCAACTTTCAGCGGGATCTCATCAAGGGAAAGATCAGTTTATAAATGAGATCGCCACCATCTCTGCAGTGCAACATTGTAATCTTGTGAGACTATATGGTTACTGCATTGAAGGAACGAGACGACTCCTTGTTTATGAATACCTCGAAAACAAAAGCCTTGATCAAGTGTTGTTCGGTATGAGAATGCACATTGTGATTATATATTCATTGGTACAAAATATAAATTTAATGAGTCCAAGTTTCATATTATGAAACTAAACCACTTAGAAGAAGCAATATATTTCCTTAGGGTTGTATAACACTGTTTTAGAAAGCTCTAAATTTCTCCTTAATTGAGATATATTATCCTTGAATCCTAAATTTCCCAATTCAATAGATATTAACTACTCTTTGAAGTTTCAACTAATGGAGCTACCATTTTTGCAGGAAATAGTGAGTTGCATCTTGATTGGCCTACCCGGTTTAGTGTATGCATGGGAACGGCAAGAGGTCTAGCCTATCTTCATGAGGAATCAAGACCAAAGATTGTACATCGAGATGTCAAAGCAAGTAATATCTTACTTGATGCCGAACTCTACCCCAAAATTTCAGATTTCGAATTGGCAAAGATGTACGATGACAAGATAAGTCACCTCAGCACCAGAGTTGCAGGCACCATGTAAGCTTCTTCAACCATTTTTCACATTGAAGCATGTATAAGAACTCAGTGAAAGTCTAATTTTATAATTTAATTAAATTTACATATCTAGACTTCAGAATTTTAACCTTTAACTATTGTCAATCATCTTGTAGAGGCTATCTAGCGCCGGAGTATGCAATGCGTGGACACTTGACAGAAAAAGCTGATGTATTCAGTTTTGGTGTTGTTGCTTTGGAGATTATTAGTGGAAGAGCAAACTCTGGCAATAGATTGGACACTGAAAAAGTTTATCTTCTTGAATGGGTAAAGAATAAACTTCAACTTCGTTTCATTTTCTTTGCTTTCTCCTGTGTACTAAATTAGACAAACTCATTTTTCTCCTTGCAAATGGTCTTCTCTACATGATATTTATAGGCATGGAATCTTCATGAAAATAACCGAAGTTTGGGGTTGGTCGATCCCACATTAACCGAATTTAATAAAAATGAAGCTCTTCGAATAATTGGAGTAGGGCTGTTGTGCACTCAAGCATCACCAATGTTGCGGCCACCCATGTCAAGAGTTGTGGCCATGCTTGCTAGAGACATAGAAGTGGGGACTGTTACTTCCAAGCCAAGTTATTTGACTGACTGGGATTTTAAGGACATAACAAGTGACTTTGTTAATAATGAAGATAGTGTTGCAACTTCATTCGAAAAAAGCTATGGGAATAAGAAAAGTGAATCTAACAATCCAACTGTTCTTCGCCATGGAGTTGATCCATTACTCTCCCCAGTAGATGTCACTCAGTTCACTGACATAATATCAGATGGGAGGTGAGAAGAAGTCATAATTTATATATGTTTGCACATTTTCAGCTGCAAACAACAATAAGACTTGTAATATTTGGGAAGTTATCAAAGTTGTATTAAGAATATGAGACAATTTATAGAATATTAGGATCATTATACTGAATGGAGTTTAGCAGAAGTTCACTTTGGTTTCTTCTTTTTTTGTTGCACTTGTAGCCGTTGAGATTATAGAGCTTATGTTTCAGCAACTTTGTTTGCAGCTTAGAAGTGGACCATTAAATGAAAGGTTCACAGTTCAATGTTGGACACCAATAAGTTAGATGTAATTATTTTTTAATGTCAAGTCAACAATTTGTATCTTTACGGGGGTTAACAGTTCAATTCGCTATAAGACACGTTTCCTCGATTAGCCAGATTCCGGCGGTGGTGGCCGGAATCTGGCACTGCGGGTGGTGGGGGTGTTTTTGTCATTTTACATATTGGGGTGTTTAATTAAATTAGAAAACCTTGGGGTTTTTTTTTATAAATTTATAAATTTTACCTCGTAATACTCCTCTATCCAACTACCCAAAATTATTCCCAAAATCATTCCCAAAATCCTATCCAAAATAATGAACCAAACGTACCCTATATTGTCCTTTTTCCTTTCATATCACCAGTAGCTATCATTTATTATCTGAAATCCAAAGATTTTAGTGAACACTAGGCTTACTTGAGCTTCAAATGGTACATGTTAGCAAATCCCCTTGTCGGCTTCCATTGAAACTTGTTTGTTCATTTTGCATGTATATTTGAAACAGCTTAGGAGGAGAAGAGTGCCTATCCTACCTCTCAACAACATTCTCCATTTGTTAGGCTAAAGCTGAAGATTCGATGACTCCTTCCTAACTCAATTACAGTGATTGATAGTGCCCAAAAATCAACGTCAACAATATCAGAAAGTGGCCTCACAAGAGCTTCCTATTGCATACTTTTGAAGCTGATGATATTTTGCTAGAAATATTGTGAAAAACTCATATTTGTCAAACTTATGAGTTGTGTGTGTGCATGTACAACAGTTATGTGGGCACACTTGTTGCAAATATAATGATTTGGCTTGTTTCCTTTGTTGTGTGTGTGCACATAAGTTTTGTGTGCACACTGGTTGCCAGACTTGTGTCTTGGCTTGTTTCGTTTAGAGTGTGTGTGTGCACAATAGTTTGCGCTTACACTCTCGCTTCAGACTTTTGTAACCCAGCACGAATTGCATGTTTGATAAACTGAAAAAGATATCGTTTATCTTTGTCTCTCACCTTTTAGGACATTTTTACATGTGTCATAGTATCCTTAAATGGTCATAGGGAATAAAGTTTCTTTTCCTAATTTGTTTTGTGGTCCAAACCAAAAGAAGGAATACTTTCCTTATCTGGACTAAAGGATTTTGTAGAATCAAGAAAGAAAAACGCAAAGAAATTTCAGTAAGAAGAAGAATAGGAAATTTGGTATTTTTATTAACTGAATTCTGTTACAGGTAATAAGCACTTATATAGCCATTATTGTGTATAAAACGGTAGTGCTTTTAAAGTATTATGTAATTACACTTAAGCCACATAGTTTGCACAATCATTACAAAATAGACCTAGCTTCTCTAAAACTATTATGTTTCACTTTTCTCCTCACAGTACCTTTGCTTAACATTTCCCCTTAAACCAAACATTTTCTAATTTTCCAATCACCAAAGACAGAAACTCAAAACTTCTTATATCACAATCAATGTCTTTCTCAGAAAAGTATCTCCAAACTGAATTATCACTTAACAGCAGACCACTCCTTATATCACATTTATCACTCAATAGCAAACCACTCCTTATGTCACAGTCAGAGAGACCACCAACATCAAATAAAGAAGAACCGAAGTAATAGCAATACGCAGTAAAATAGAACAAACAAATGCAGAGTTTAGAACTAATGCTTATCAAGTTGCTGTAGATTGTTGTTCCAAAACCGGTAGCGAAACAACTACATTCAGCTTATCTTTAAGCATTAAAAATCTTTGTGCAGGGAGGGCTTTAGTAAGAATATCAGCAAGTTGATATTCCGATGTGACATATTGCATAGCTAACTCTCTCATGTAATGGACATCAATCTCGATATGTTTAGTCCTGGCATGAAAAACAAGATTCGATGACAATGCTCCTACACTCATATTACACCAAAACATAAGAACATTATTTATCTAAATTCCAAGCTCTTGAAATAGGTGTCGAACTCAGACTAATTCTGTGGAAGCTTGACTCAAGGCCCTATATTTAGCCTCAGTTGAAGAAAGTGAAACAACTTTCTATTTTCTAGAACTCCATTGGAATAAGTTACCTCTAAGGAAGATATTGTAGCTAGAAGTAGACCTCCTATCACTCACATCACTGGCCCAATCTGTATCGGCATACCCTTCTAAAAGAAATTTCACATTTTTCTGGAAGAACAATCCATGATGAATAGTTCCTTTAATATACCTGAACACTCTCTTGCATGCAGTCCAATGATTAACCGTTGGATACTGAAGGAACTGAATTAACCTATTGACTGCAAAAGCCAAGTCAAGTCGTGAGATTGTTAAGTACTAAAGGCCTATTAGACTTCTATACAGAGTAGGTTGATCAAAGAAGGGATTGTCTTCTTTTCCCAATTTTACCTGTGGCCATTGGGGTATTACATGGCTTACATTCGGTTAAACCAACTTTGCTTAATAAGTCTTGAGCATAGTTGGTTTGAGTAAAAAGTAATCCTGTCTCATTCCTATGAACTTCAAACCCAAGAAAGTAGCTTAAATCTCCTAAGGTTTTGAGTGCAAAACAGCTATTCAAATCAGCAACAATCTGACAAATTAACGCTGAGTCATTTTTGATAATCAAAATATTATCAACATACACAAGTAAGTAGATTACCTGAGTGTCTTTCTTGAAGAAAAATAGACTTGTATCTGAAGTGGAACACAGAAAACCCCAAGTTAAAAGTGCTATTTTTAATTTATTAAACCAGGCCTTAGGTGCCTGTTTTAATCCATACAAGGCCTTGTTGAGTTTGCACTCATGCTTGGGATGAGATATGTCACCAAAACCCTTAGGTTGCATCATGAAAACAGTCTCCATGAGGTCTCCATTCAAGAAAGCACTGTTAATATCGATTTGTTGTATCTCCCAACTATTATGGACTGCCAAGGAAAGCATAATCCTGATGGTAGCCAGTTTAATCATAGGGGAAAAGGTGTCAAAATAGTCAACCCCTAGTGTTTGTTGAAAGCCTTTAGCCACTAATCTGGCTTTGTATTTCTGGAGTGTGCCATCATACTTTAATTTGGTTTTGAAAACCCATCTGTAGCCTAATATATTCATATCGAAAGTGGGAGGAACTAACTCCCATGTGTTGTTTCTTTTTAATGCTTCAAATTCTTCATTCATAGCTTGTTCCATTATGGAGTAATTAAGGCTTTAGATACACTTTTCGGTTCAGATAGGATGGAAGTTGTTGCTAGATATGCTTGACTTATGATCTGACTATTTCTGGTTTTAGACTTAGTGAGCATTGGATGACAATTTGTAACTGCATTGGTTTGCACAATAGGTACTGACATTGTTACATTGTCCTGGGAAATGGGTAAGACTACCTCTAGGTGTATTTCTAGAACTGAAGATTGATTAGAAGAAGTGTGAGAACCTGATGCATTTAAGGTAGAATCACATGAAGGACCAAAAGAATCACTAGCGGAGGAGTTAGATAAATCAGATTCTATAACTAAGGGTAAGACATAATCAGCAACAGGCCTAGCTAAATCACTAGGTAAAGGTTCTTTTGTATTAGGGGCATTAACAGGTCTAACTGAAAAACTGGCCAAAGGATCTCCTACACACAAAGAACCACTAGTAGTTTTTACAATAGGTGAAGACAGATCAACAACAGAAGAAGTAGTATCAGATTCTACAACAGTGTGAAGACAGATTAGCAACAGAAGAAGTAGTGTTAGATTCTGCAGCAGGAGACACATTAGCACCAGTAAAAAAAAAAACACAATTGGAGTCTAAACAATGAGCAAGGCTCCATGAAGAATAATTTTCTTCAGAATTGGTGTTTGTTGAAAGTCCTGCAAGGTCAAGATTTTTTAGTTGCACACACTTAAATCCATGTTTAAAAGGAAACATTATCTCGTTAAACTTAACCTATTTAACGATATATATTTTTATTGTGGGAGACAAGCACTTAAAACACTATGAGCTGGGCTATACCCTATAAACACACATTGTTTAGTGTGATAAGAAAACTTATGTTTTTGATAAGGTCGTATATATGGATAGCAATAGCAACCGAAGACTTTAAGATCAGTGTATATTGGTTCTTTACCAAATAACTTCTAGTATGATGAAATGCCTTTAAGAGAAACAGAAGGCAGTTTGTTAACAATGAATACTGCTATGCTAAAGGACTGCCACCAAAAACACAAAGGCATCCTTGCATGAGCTAAAAGAGTTAATCCAAACTTTGTAATTGTCCTGTGCCTTCTCTCCACCTTCTCATTTTGCTGGTGTAAGTAGGGGTAGGGTGTCTAAAACCTATGCCATAAGTTTCTAGGTATGATGTAAAAGATTTGAACTCCCCTCCCCAATCGGTTTGAAGATTCTTTAGTTTAGCATCTAATTGTTTTTCAGTAAAGACATGAAAACTGGTAAAAACCCTAAAGGCTTCAAACTTAAATTTCAAAGGATATATCCACATGTATCTGTTATAATCATCCACAAATAACATATAGTATTTAAATCCTTTTGAAGAACACGCTGGTGCAGGGCCCTATAGGTCTGAATAAACCAACTCAAGTGGTCTGGAAGTCTTAGAATTCGATAAAGGAAATGAAGCCTGAGACAGTTTGCCAAATTGGCAAGCTTCACAAAAAGTTTTATTATAACTGGACAGTCCAAGTAGATGGAATTTATTTAATACATGCTTAAGATTCTTTCTTGGGGATGTCCCAATCTAGCATGCCACACCATTATTGAATTA